ATCATAAAAAAAAAGAGCGTAATAAGGAAATCCTCACAACACAAAACTTCATTTGATTTAATGCTCACTGGTGCGCGTACAGAGAAACGAAACTTGAATGATTATGTCTTCACAAGAAAGAAGAAATAAATGCAAGAGTGTGTACACATATTATGCACGTTTAATGATGAATGATCTCTCAAATACCTCAGACCATATCATAATAACTACATGCCGTAAGATAGTAGTGATCAATTAATATTATATGAAATAACATATAATTAAAGCAGGGTAATAAGCCTCTCACTAAAATATTAAATTATAAAGCCAATTAGTAATTATATGACAAGATTTATTCAGCCTGACAACAAGAACTATTAACCTATCAATAAATAACCAGACCATAAAGATAAGTAGCCTAATAATACACGTTAAAGTTTTAACTTTAAAAATAAATATTAATCGGAATGAAATAGACTAATATTAAGAGTTAGTTTAGTTCAGTTCATATATTATTCACCCCCATATCCCTCTTAATATTTCTTCAGGTGTAGATTACTGTCTCTCTCCCGCCTGCGCTCTAGAGAATACATTTAACAAAATGGTAATGTGCCAATAAGTTTGATATTTTATTTAGTGGATTCTAACAGTAAAGGAACTTTGCACGCTCTCCAGGTCAGCAATTTCTCCAGTACAGTATCATCATTGGAATGGCATCTCTTGTTTGAAAGGTTCTTGTTATCATTAACTATAATTCAAACAATTAATCACACAATTATAACTTTTTGAATACAAATATAACTATTATAACTACAATTACAACAATAATAACTCAATTATATGACTAATTATTAAAAAATTATCTTATAACTTCAATAATAACTAATAATAATAACATAATTATATAACAAATTATTAAAAATTATATATATGATAAAGACGATGATTTCCTAATTATCAGCACTAATCAGTTTTTAGTTAATTCTGCGATATATGCAAGTACCCCCCACCTTCACCTCCCTCCACCCCACAACCTTCACCCCCCTCCACCCCACAACCATCACCTCCCTCCACCCCACAACCTTCCCCTCCCTCCACCCCACAACCTTCACCCCCCCCCTCCACCCCACAACCATCACCCCCCTCCACCCCACAACCTTCACCTCCCTCCACCCCACAACCTTCACCTCCCTCCACCCCACAACCATCACCCCCCTCCACCCCACATCCTTCACCTCCCTCCACCCCACAACCTTCACCCCCCCCCCTCTACCCCACAACCTTCACCTCCCTCCATCCCACAACCTTCACCCCCCCTCCACCCCACAACCTTCACCCCCCTCCACCCCACAACCTTCACCCCCTTCCACCCCACAACCTTCACCCCCCTCCACCCCACAACCTTCACCCCCCTCCACCCCACAACCTTCACCCCCCTCCACCCCACAACCTTCACCCCCCCCCCTCCACCCCACAACCTTCACCCCCCTCCACCCCACAACCTTCACCCCCCTCCACCCCACAACCTTCACCCCCCCTCCACCCCACAACCTTCACCCCCCTCCACCCCACAACCTTCACCCCCCTCCACCCCACAACCTTCACCCCCCTCCACCCCACAACCTTCACCCCCCTCCACCCCACAACCTTCACCCCCCTCCACCCCACAACCCTCACCCCCCTCCACCCCACAACCCTCACCCCCCTCCACCCCACAACCTTCACCCCCCTCCACCCCACAACCTTCAAGCCCCTCCACCCCACAACCCTCACCCCCCTCCACCCCACAACCTTCACCCCCCTCCACCCCACAACCCTCACCCCTATCCACCCCACAACCTTCACCCCCCTCCACCCCACAACCTTCACCCCCCTCCCACCCACAACCCTCACCCCCCTCCACCCCACAACCTTCACCCCCCTCCACCTTAACAACACGCCTATCTAGGCTACCTAGGTTTACAACACACCTCCCCCCCCATCTCAAACGACCCATCACCTACAGCACCCTAAAAAAAATATTCCCTTCACCTGCCGTAAACACGCAACCTTTCTACAACCTGTCCTCCGCCAATCCTATACTCCTCAGCGGCTCATATTACCTGACAAAAACACTCGCTACTTCCTACACCCAGCTTAGCTCTCTGTAAAGCTACAAAGATATCTACCAGGTAGATATCATAAGATAAGCTCAAGGTATGCATAGTACCGAGCGCTTTTTAATAAAGCGGCAAGAGTAAAGAAAAGTCTAAGGGTCCGAGATAGGGTAGAACACTTTTACCCGGAGTCTTCAAAAGTTGAGGAGGCTTTTCCCGAGAAAGTGGAAGGTGGGGCGTCACGCGACACCGCCACAACCAGGAGCAGCCCGGGGAGGGGAAGCTCACGAAAGGGGGGGGGGGGAATGAGGGGGGTTTAACGAGGTCCCCTTAGCCACCGACCACCCATTTCTCTGGGCGTAACCCACAGAGGTCGACTGGTTACCTGGTTGATGGGGTTCTGGGAGTTCTTCTACTCCCCAAGCCTGGCCTGGGAGTTCTTCTACTCCCCAAGCCCGGCCCGAGGCCAGGCTTGACTTGTGAGAGTTTAGTCCACCTAACACATATGCACATACTACTAAGTGAATAGGGGAGGGAATGGACATATTTAATACTAAGTGAATTGGGAAACGATCCCCCTATCCTTATCTGTTCGTCCCTGTTCACCCAACAGTAATTGAGGACTTGGTTGTTAATCAATTGGCGGGTCGTGCTCCTGTGAAAACTAGGAGAAATAGTTTTTTTTCGCTTTTCGCTCATATGCGCATTATGGCCAAAAATGGACGTAATTTTAAATGAAATCGGCTCCTGAAAGTGATGTACGGTCCCGTTTTCTGTTTGAGTCCTTTGGTTTACTCGGTAAGGTTTGGAGAGGAAACTTTCAATTAATGCTGTTCATGACGTTTTGAAACTTTAGGAGAATTTCCTGCCCGCCTAACCTACCAGAGGACCCTTAACTTACTGTTTTCTGGAAAAAAAAAACAATTTTTTTTTTTATTATTTTAAAATTACGTCCATTTTTCGGCCATACGGCCAAACGGTCAAATTCAGACCTAATTTGAGAGAGAGAGAGAGAGAGAGAGAGAGAGAGAGAGAGAGAGAGAGAGAGAGAGAGAGAGAGAGAGAGAGAGAGAGAGAGAGAGAGAGAGTAAATGAACTGAACAAATACCAACACTTCATTTTGGTATTTAATGAAATATTAAATTTATACCCGTGTCCTACCTACTTTTTCTGTATTTACCAGAAGCAAACAAAACTTCAGATGAAGAGTACAAAAATATGATGAAATGAGCCTTACATCTAAATTATTTAAAGAATAAACAACAATATTCCACGGAGCGAACGATAACATTATATGATATACAGATCGGACGACGTGAAAATTATTTGCTCGCGGCTAATACCGTTGAGGAATAAAAATAATCTGACCATAAAGGAATGTGAATTATGTTCTTGGGACAAAATTATTGTTGCTGTATAACCATTATCTTGCTTAAAAACATTTATTTTTATCACAAATGAAATTTTAGCAACACAAAAGTCAAAATTTAACATAAATAATATTTTGATTTATATATATATATATATATATATATATATATATATATATATATATATATATATATACATATATATATATATATATATATATATTTATCAAATAACATATAAAAACATTAACTTTAAAGGTTTCATCAATGTAGAGGTGTAAAACAAAAAATGCGAATTTAGAAATTAACTTTGGGAAAAACACTCATAATCACCAAAACTTTTACCACATTATCCAACAACTATTAACTATTAAACGAAACCTACACAGCAACTCCAAATAGTGAGCTAAAAAACCAAAAGTTGTGTACTATTTTGAAATTGGAAAATTATATTTTTCGGTTACTGATACTAAAGAATCCAAGTCTACTGAAACGACACGATCCTCTGGCTGAAATTTGTCAAGTACTGTATATATTTAGTAAATACTCCGTATTACCGAACATAATACTCCGTAAATACTCCATGATTACCGTATTCGTAAATCAGAATACAGGACTGTATTTTGACTGATGATCAACTTCGACATTCACCAAGTTAAGGTTATTTACAATCCATTGCACATATAAAAGATGCATTGCACCTTTAATACGTACTAAATGACAAATCTAGCATGGAACATTACGTGGAAAACTGAAAGAAAAAATATGGTTACGTACACCATCTTGGCTTCAAGCAAGATAAATGCCAATATACTTGTCTAAAGACTTAAATTTCTTTATCTATGAATATGTTGGAATATACTGGGATTAGTTATTGATAATCCGGTGTATTTTTCAATTATAATTTAATATCTGGAACCGAGGCCTAACCTAATTATAATTAGCCTAGGGTGACAGAGAGCAATTGTTATATCTTAAACATAAACAAATTGACGCTATGCGGAAAGACAAGATGCCAGGAACGTGAACAAGTTCATTCAGGCTTTAGTAATTTAGCTATTATGAGTTTCAAATAAGCTAATCAGTAGAGAGCAGAAAACTTGTTGGTATATGTATCAAGTCTTGTATCATGGTTGTATGTGTCACCGAGGAAATAACAGCTAACGTGAGCCGTGATAAACTTACGGTTTGGGGAAAACACAATGTTGGGGCTGACGGCGTGAATGGCGTCTTCTAGGAATAATTACTTTCCTAGAGTAAATCTTTTGTGTGTAATCTGTTCAGCATTTCGTTTACCTCAATATGGCTAGAGCGCTGCCATATTAAACAAAAAATCTACTTCGTTTTTATAAAGCTGTGATAAACACTATATCACTTTTGTGATCAGGCTTCAGATTGACAATTTAAGCTCATTAATGAACATTGATTCATTTGTTTATATGTTTAACAAGTAAATAATGACCACATTATGTGTGCATGTGGATTGTGTATTTGTATTTGTGTATGCAGTTAGACAGCAGTAATGAGATCAAACAAGAAATGCTTGACTACTCACGTTCCAAGAAGATCCTTCAGCAGGTATTTGTCTTCTACCGACGGCATCTTCCCTTCTTCTTTCTCCTTCTTGGTAGACTTTTTGGCTGCCTCCTTCTTAGAGCCAAAGAGCGGCATGACCTAGAGTGTGTATGCCACACTGACCACCTTGCCCACTACACACTTCTCCAACAACACTACCACCTTCTGCCACACTCCACCTCTTCACTACCTCTAATATATCCAAGCTCAACACTGCTCTTATTCACTTCTGATATAACTCAACACTGATGTTATACACACTGTATTAAGCAAGAGGCTCTTTAATATCATATAGCGTCTGATCTCTCTCTACCTTCCACAATACAGCGCTGCGCCTGCTGCCAGATTCTGCGTCACTTGGAAGGTAAAGTAATCACCTGGGCGACTCTACTGCACCTTCACCTCGGATATCCACTCCTGAGGATCAGAGGTAAGTGGGCGTAGGAAGGCGAGGAACCATGTTGGGGTGCGGGGAGAGGGAGGGCGTGTGCTCACCTTGTGATAGGCTGACCACCACTGAGCGGCAGCCTCACGCTCCTCCAGCCTTCAGCGACTGCGCCGACACGCCGGAGACTGAGTTTGCGCCGACCCGCCCACCACACTGTCTCTACACACACACACATACGCACACATACATACATACACCTAAGACCAAAGAGCCAGAGCTCAACCCCCGCAAACACAACTAGGTGAATACACACACACACACACACACACACACACACACACACACACACACACACACACACACACACACACACACACACACACACACACACACACACACACACATACACATACACATACACATACACATACACATACACACACACACACACACACACAACCAAAGAGCCAGAGCTCAACCCCCGCAAACACAACTAGGTGAGTACCTACATACATTTATACTCATACACGCTATTTGATATGATCACAAGTACAGGCTATAAAGGGGAGCACAGCTGGGAATTGAAAGCACTGAAAAATCAGATAACTATGAGGAAATACTGGACTCGTATCATCGTATGCATTGAGTGGTAAACAAAGTGGAATGAGCTTGAGGCAGAGGTGGTGGAGGCCACCCCCTGGAAACACAAACCGAAACTGTCTCTATTTTCCGCTTGTTACAACTTGTAATAAAGTTGTTACATCTTGGCTTAACGTGTTTATGACGTATTAGAACGTTGTTACAACTTGCTATATTGGTTGTTATAACTGGTTAGGTGGTGTTAAAACTTGTTCGAACGTTGTACCAACGTCGTAGTTTCGGTGTGTGTTTGGCGGGGGCCACCACCATTCACAGCTTCAAGAGCAGGTATGAGAACACTGAAAACGTCAGAAGGTATAAGTTTGCCCGAAACGCTGTGCGTATTAGTGGCTTTAGGCATAGTATGTACTAGCTTACTATCTAGAAATCCAACATTATATTTGTAACTTATTTTGAATGCATAAACTTCTACCTGAATAAACATTATCTTATCTTATCTATCTTATAAATGTACCAGGTATAAACGCTCTGAGGTTGGGCTCTCGATCTGCATTTTTGCTCCCTGTAGGCAGAAGTAAGTAAGCGCTCAAATACCACGCACCGAAATCACTCGCACTACAGTGGAATTTCTATATACCACACAAACTACACACATTCACAACCTATATCTGTTACACACATTTCATCCCGTTTACTGCTACTGTGCCAGGTAAGTTCACTGCGGGCTCACCATAGCCCGTGCTACTTGCCCCGCTCCTGTGCTAGGTAAGTCCACTACGGGCTCACCATAGCCCGTGCTACTTGGAACCTGTTCCGAGTAGCTGAATCTATAACAACAACAACAACATCCCATTAATATCACCTATTGGACATCAAGGACCCTTTGGCCTAATGACCTATGGGAGGTCATTAGGCCAAAGCGCCCATTCCGATAAGCTGACTCTCTTTAAGGAACATCGCCAGTTTATCAATTAAATTCAAATCGTCATCAAGCAGGTGTTCTATGATGAACGGCATATGGTGGCTGGAATGGTACTACTGCAGGAGGGGTCTTCTGGCTTTGTGTAGAGAAGGCAGCCGATGACATTGTAGAACATGCAGAACATTGTAGAACATTGTAGAACATGTAGAACATTGTAGAACATGTAGCAGTGGTCCCAGGCGGCCGGAAACTGTCAGTTTGTAGGCGGATTAGATCAGATGCAAGGAGCCGCGAGCGGACTAGAACGAAGTGCTTCCCAGTCAACAGGGAGCAGAGAGTTACTGTGCAACCCGTTCTCCTAATACAGCGTCGCATTCTGACGCATACTCCTCCTTAGGCCAAAAATCGTCTTACTAAAAAAGAGAAGCGGCTCGCGAAATTGATATACTGTTCCGTTTTCTGTTTTGGGTCCTCTGGCAGGTTAGAATAGGGGACTTTAGTACGACAGTTTCTTGACCTTGGGAAACCTTATGACGGACTGGGTGACTAGCATAAAATGGGCAAAGTTCCTTAGATCCTGTTGGTCGGGTCAGAAACAATATAATCCCGATTTTTGAGGTTCGCCTTTATAAAATTTCCATTGCTTAAAGATTGTGCAACATTGATTGTGCAACAATATTGTGTATACTTATATTTTAAGCTTCTTTAACACATTATTTGTGGCAGTTGTACACAATGTATATCAATAAACCACATAATTCCATATGGAAATCCACGTAATAGTCACAGAAGCGTTGAGCAGCGTATAAACGCTTCCAGCATGCAAATTAACCTATAATATCTTAAGCCGTGCGCCCTCACACGCCACAATGAACCTTATGTTATCTTGCCTGTTGCAAAACCTTTAAAACTCCCTACTGCGAGGCAAACATCAGGTTAACTGTGACTGTTTTTATAGCTAGACGCAGTAAAGTAGGCAACTCAAATATAATCATCCCGTAAAGACTGATGCAACAATGTAAGTAACCCACAATTGTTCTTCAACTGGAGCTAACCTTTACGGAAATTCGTCGTTGCGACAAGAGTTTTTTAAAATGGTAATTACTTGCTGCGCAATTTTTGTTTTCATCTTAGCCAAGACATACTTGACGCAATTTTGTTACAATAATTAGTAAGCCAAGGTTGAGGAACTCAAGTTGGGAGCGTTCTGAGGCTACATATCAAGCTGGTATGTGCAACACACTGGCGATAGTTTCCAGTATTGCTGTGCTAGGATGTGAGGGCTAGCCTAGTGTGTTGTTTAGTGTTGCTGTGCTAGGATGTGAGGGGCTAGTCTAGCGTGTTGTTTAGTGTTGCTGTGCTAGGATGTGAGGGCTAGCCTAGTGTGTTGTTTAGTGTTGCTGTGCTAGGATGTGAGGGCTAGTCTAGTGTGTTGTTTAGTGTTGCTGTGCTAGGATGTGAGGGCTAGCCTAGTGTGTTGTTTAGTGTTGCTGTGCTAGGATGTGAGGTGCTAGCCTAGTGTGTTGTTTAGTGTTGCTGTGCTAGGATGTGAGGGCTAGAGTAGTGTGTTGTTTAGTGTTGCTGTGCTAGGATGTGAGGGCTAGCCTAGTGTGTTGTTTAGTGTTGCTGTGCTAGGATGTGAGGGCTAGCCTAGTGTGTTGTTTAGTGTTGCTGTGCTAGGATGTGAGGGCTAGCCTAGTGTGTTGTGCTAGGATGTGAGGGCTAGTCTAGTGTGTTGTTTAGTGTTGCTGTGCTAGGATGAGAGGGCTAGTCAAGCGTGATGTTATCTTAGCTAATCTAAATTATTGTTTAATATTCCTCTGCTAGGATATGAGAGCTAGTCTGACGTGATGTTTAGTTTGGTTACAGCAGAGAAAATTTGGTTAGTTTAAATCAATATAATTAATTCAGCTTAGCGCACTCTAAACTCTAAGTTCTACAGAATGACTATTTGGTTAGATAAGGTTGATTAACTTTTGCTGATTTAATTAATAAGTTCTACAGAATGACTATTTGGTTAGATAAGGTTGATTAACTTTTGCTGATTTAATTTTGTTAAATATAGGCTACATTATTTCCATTTGGATTATTATTTGCAGTATAGGTTATAATCCCTTAATTCAGTTACATAAGTACAAACTTTCAATAAATTCCTTATTTATGTTAGATTGTGCAAGGATAGGGAAACTGTAGACTGCATAGCTTTATATAATAATAATAATAATATTTTATTTGGGAAAAGTATATACATAGATGCAGTTACAAACATTCTGATTGACTTGTAGATAGAGGTAGAACATACAATACCTAAAGCCACTAGTACGCATAGCGTTTCGGGCACGGCTGGAGAGAGAGAGGGTTATCTTTAATTAAACTCATTGTCCAATTATATAAATGTTTTTTTTAGACCAAATACCATAAAATAACTGGTAAGTTTCTTTTTTTTTAAACTGGAGCGCGTCATATAAATTATAGTAGCAGCGGGGCTTTGTGTCTACGATGGTTCACTAAAATAAAAACAAACCGAGCTCTGTGTCATACTGCATATTCATCACGTTTATATCACTTCACGTTTATTGGCTTCAAAATCAAAGTATATCAAAACTAAAACTATATAGCTAAATATAAATATATATAAACTATATAAAACTAAAAAAAAAAAAAAAAAAATATATATATATATATATATATATATATATATATATATATATATATATATATATATATATATATATATATATATATATATATATATATATATGTGTGTGTGTGTATTATACTAGGCTTAAGAAACGTTGGATTTTGGCTGATTCCTTCTTTCTCGGGTCCTCTGCAAAATTATTAATACAAAACTTTGAATTTGTGGAGCAACAGTCTATATTTTGTTGATTTCATTCACCGTCGCTATATGCACTATCATTGTTGAATGACAGGTTGTTAATCCTCGTTTTCTTCTGTCATGTGCATGAGAAGCCTTTGGTGGTGTATTAAGTATGATACAATACGGACATAAGTATGTGATGACCAAACCAGTGGAGAGTAGCAAACATCCCAACATGTGTTGAGAACCTCATTTTTAATGTGTGTTATTTCCGAATCGAATGCTCTGTAATACGTTTAGTACGTTCCAGGTTATCTTGAGGTTATCTTGAGTTGATTTCGGGGCTTTTTTAGTGTCCCCTTCTTGGTTCAGTTATAATTCATTAGGTATGTTTAATTAGTTTTGAGGGTTATCTTGAGATGATTTCGGGGCTTAGCGTCCTCGCGGCCCGGTCCTCGACCAGGTCTCCTCTTTGTTACACACCCCCAGGAAGCAGCCTGTAGCAGCTGTCTAACTCCCAGGTACTTATTTACTGTTACGTGAACAGGGACATCAGGGTGAAAAACTTTGCCCATTTGTTTCCGCCTTCACCGGGGATCGAACCCGGAACCTTAGGACTACGAATCCCGAGCGCTGTCCATTCAGCTACCAGGCCCCTTTTGTATTTCTTGACTCATATAACGCCTGGCAACGTTATCATGTTCCCAAACAGCTCAAGTTGGTAACATGCGTATCACTTGGTGAATCTAACATTAGCCGCAATATTAAACATTGAGAGAGCTGTGCAAGTCTGAAGCACTCCACAATGTCGTAATAGCAATTGCCTACGCAACGACTCTGGTAC